GGCTTTTTAACAAGTGAGATAGAATCCATGTGCGAAAAAAGTGAATTTCATCCATACCTCGCATCATACTCAAAAAAGAACTCAATATGGATCAAAGATCTGTAAGTAAAACCTAAAATTATAAAACTTTTAGAAAAAAATAACAATACCATTCAAAAATGGACAAAAGACTCAAACTGGCACTGAATCAAAAAAGATAAATGACTGCAAATAAGCACATGAAAATGCATACATTATTAGTAATTAAGGAAATCCAAGTTATGATTATAATGAGAATCACCACACTTATTAGAATGACTAAAATTTAGAAGACTGACCATACCACATTGGTGAAGATGAGAACAAACTGCTTACAGTAATATAAAATGTAAAAAAAACTTTGGAAGCCCTAGCTGGTTCCCTAGCGCAGCCCTGGGAACCAAAGAATCGCGCTTCAATTCCCAGTCAGGGCTCATGCCTGAGTTGCAGGCCAGTTCCCAGCAGGGGACACACAAGAGGCAACCATACATTAGTATTTCTCTCCCTTTCTCCTTCCCTTCCCCTCTCAAGATAAACAAATAAAATCTTTTCTTTAAAAAGATTGATTGATATTTTTAAAAAAACTTTGGAAAAAGTTCAACCATTTCTTTAAAAGTTAAACACGTGGCTACCGCATGATCCAACCACAGCACCCTCGCCATTTACCCAGGAGAAAGGAAACACACATCCATACGTACTTACACAAAAGTTCACAGCTTTATCTGTAATAAACTATAACTCAACTTACATAAAACTCTCAAAAATGCAAACTATTCTGAAGTAACAGAGAGCTGCTCAGTGGTTGCCTGGAGGGGGCAGAGGCAGGAAGGGGTAAGAGGGATTAAAAGGGGCATAAAGAAACTTTTGGGGGTGATAGATATGTTCTCTATCTTGGCTATGGTGGTGGTTTCATATGTGTGTACACGTCAAAAATTTTCAAATTGCAGTTTAAAATGTGCAGTTTTTGTATATCAATTATGCTTCGCATATATTTTGTGTCAATTATAGCTTAATAAGGGTGTTTTTAAAAATGGCTTGAGGCAATGAATAGCTATTAGCAATTTTTGAGAGAAGAAAACAATTAAGCATGTTTTAGGAAAAAGATAACTTAGGTGGTGATGTGGAAGACAGAAGGGAAGTGAGAGAGACTAAATCGGGATTTTAACGAGGAATTTGCTGCAAAGTCCAAGTAATAAAATGAGAGCTTATGTGAGTCCATCTCTTGCTTCTTCTCCTACCTGTAAAATAATGGAACTACCTATATCACAAGGTTATTGTGGAGAAAAAATGGAGTAATAAAGGTGAAAATGCTTTGGAGCTCTAGAGTACAACACAAATGTTAAAATATTATTAATGTAATGATATACACATAATTCCTTCCTGTCCCTTTCTTCTAATTTAACAATGCTACATCAATGGTTTCCTGATTCCAACCTACTCTCAAATCCAAGGCCAACGTTATCTTTAGGTAGATAAGTATCAGAACCTTCCTGAGTTACAAGAGTTCTGGCATTTGTAAAGCTAAGTATTTAACACAAATCTAAAAGACAAAAGTAGAGCATTTATAGCTCCTGGGGCCTCAAGGCCATCACCTACAGGGTTACAGAAAAAACCCATCCACTACCTGAGTACCCAACAGCCCTTTCATTTTCATTTCCTGCCCCGTACCTCATCCATTGACATATCCCACACTCTGCAAATTTCATTCTCCATGTCTTCATCCAGCTCCATCTGCTGCTGCTCCTCATCGTCTGAGCTGGATGTATTGTTTTCAGGGCTAACAACCTTCAGAAACACAGAAGAAAAGAGGTGAACAAAACTTGTCCTTAGTATTCCTTATGTAATATTACCCCATAATCATGTACAAGTCACAAAGATACCACCTTCAAACCATTTTCTCTTGCAAAACTGTGTTAAAAAAAATCAGTATCTTAGGTAGATCTAGTCATTCAACATTCATGGAGTAAATACTGTTGCTAGGCATTGGGGCAGAAATACAAAGATGAGTAAGATTTATGCCCTTGCTTTCAAGCAGTTTATGGTTTGGTGGGGAAAAGACAGATAAACTGATAATTACACTGAAAAGACTGATTCAACTGAATCGTGGACAAAAAGTTGTAAGGGCAAAAATGATGGACCAAAGACCTATGCCTGGGAGAAGTTAGGGAAAACTTCCCTTAGGTGATATTTAAGCTAGATCTCTGAGGAAGAAGAGGAGTTTGTACTGTGAAGAAGGGAAGACCATACAAAGTACAGGTGTTCAGCATTAAGGGCCCCCAGCGTGGGGGTGGTGAGAGTTTACAGTGTCACGGGCAGATAGGGCTGGATTCCAAGCTAAGAGATACGCATTCTTCTCCTGTAGGCAAAAGAACTATAAGGAGTTCCCACGGATACTTTTTGGTAGTTTTTTTTAAAAGGAAGATTATTCTGGCTGCTGTGTAGAAGTGGATGACTGGAAAGAAAAGGAACTGGAAGTAGGTAAATCAGTTGGGAAACGTGGAGGAAAGCTCACACGGACAGCTTCCTATAAGCCACACACCCTGGTAAGCACGCTACGGCCATTATCTTATTTAAATTACACAATAACCCTATAAACAACGACATTATCATCCTACTGTACAGAAACTGCGAAGGAAAGCGAGGATCTGGGCGATTAGGTGGTAACTTGCCCAAAGACACGCTGCAAGTAGGTGATGAAGCCGCGAGTTGAGTACCAGAGCATTATGATTCCAAAATCACCATTTTCTTTTTTTTACAACAAAAGCCCACGAAACGTAAATTGGGACTTAGACTTCGGAAACGGCCGTGAGAATGGGGAGCAAAAACCCGAGCAATGTATTTACGTGACCATATATTTTTAGAAAATTTGCAGAAGTAAACATGTTTTAACCGCAGGCGCTCCGGCGTTCCTGCCGTTACACCTCCTTCTGGGCTCCGGGAGTGGCTGCGGCAGTTCGGGGTCGGGGAAAGCTGCGGGGCCCCGACACTGGAGACTCCACCGCGCGCGCCGTGGGGGGGGGGGGGGGGGTCGCGGTGGAGACCAGCCACCAGGCCCGGTGGGGCTGCCTGAGGCGGGGCCGGACACTGGGGGGAAAGTAAGGGGAGCTCACGAGAGGCGCGAATTTCCACACCTGGATAAGCCCGCTGAGGACGCCGAAAAGCCAGTGCTTGCTGTACACCGTGCTCCCTATGCAGTCTCCCCCCACCACCTCCTCCTCGCAGTCGTCCCCATTTGGCGGCGACGGAGGCGAAGGGTTACGGTCCATGATTCGGCCGTTAAGAGCGTCGTAGAACCGCACCGGAAGCCGCCGGAGGAGGCGAGAGGCCTTCTGGTGCCAGAGGGCCCGGCGCTGCTCTGGCCACAGCGCCCCCTGCTGCCCAGAGGCCTGCAGTCCTGGGTGCCCGCCCAATGTTCCCATCAGCCATAGGAGCTCAGGTGAGCCATCTCCGCCACCCCACTCCACCAGGACCCAGGCATGGTCACATTCATCATTGTTGTGAGTCACCCTCACTGGACCATATATTTCATGGTCCATCCACTAAATGCCCCATAATTATGCCAACCCCAAAAGTCCCCAGAGACATCCAAAAGCTGGGAATGGGAATAGTGCAATGCTGTCCTTGTTAAGAACGATGGTCTAGCCCTGGCTAGTGTAGCTCAGTGGATTGAGCGCAGGTCTAGGAAACACAGAATTGCAGTTCAATTCCCAGTCAGGGCACATGCCTGGGTTGCAGGCCAGTTCCCAGCAGGGGACTCATGAGAGGCAACCATATGTTGATATTTCTCTCCTTCTCTCCTTCCCTTCCCCTCTAAAGATAAATAAATAAAATTAAATTAAAAAAAAAAAAACTATGTTCTAGCTCTCTGTCCCCGGGACTGGAAAGTTTCGGGAAGAACTACGGTCATGCCATTCTCTAAGGAAACGACTACTTACCTCTTTCTGAAGTTACCTCGACACAGTGACGTAATCTCCTCTAAATTGTTGCTTGCTTTTTTCTCAGCCCTTTATTACCTACCCTCCCATATACATTTGCACCCATAGACTTGTGAGGATACTGGGGTAGTACATGGAATACATTCATTGAAAGAATGACAAAGTGAACTAATATATGTAAAAGTGTTTTATAAGCTCTAAACTTCAATGCAAATGCGAGTTACAGCAAATGGTTCAAAATGGTGGTTCTACCCCTGGCCAGTGTGGCTCAGTTTGTTGGGCATCCTCCCACAAAGCAAAAGGTCACTGGTTCAATTCCCTGTCAGGTCACAGGCTTCAGTCCGCAATCAGGGCGAGTACAAAAGGCAACTGATGAATGTTTCTCTCTCACACTGATGCTCCTCTCCTTGTCTCCCTCCCACCCTTCCCCCTCTTTAAAATCAAATAAATTTAAAACAAAAATTTTTAAACAAGGGTGGCTCTAGTGTCAAACTAGCAATGTGACTTGGATATATATTTTAACTGTTTGTGCTCAAGTTTCCTCAGCCATAAAATGAGAGGATTCCATGGTATAATACAAGAAAACACTTAGAGAAATATCTGGCCCATGGGTGACTTGCTGAATATTAACTGTCACCATAAACATCCTACTACTACTAACTTGTGTGAGAAGAGCCGAAAAACCAACCAGCAAATGGACTAACATATCAACCACGAACTGACAAGAACGACACAAATTTTCCAGAAGAACTGAGCAAAGGGCTATGAAGGCATATACTGTTAAAGGTTTAGGTGCTGACAGAAAGGTACAATGAGGTCTCAACACAGAAAGGCCTGCTAATAGCAATGTAATCACAAGGGATAAAGAGAAGCAGGTCTGGCTCAGGCAAAAGTCGCTGCGGGGTATGTGACCTATATGACTCTGAGACTGTGTCCCCTCCACCCAAACACACAGGCACAGGCCCGCCTTCATGTGGGTGTCCATCCATCACCTCTTAGTACCAACAGAGAGTTCTTATAGCAAAGAATAACACACACTTTTTAACATTCAGCATCTGAAGCATTTATTATGCACTCATTAGGTGCCCTCTATTATGGGTATGTAGACCTCAACCACTCGATGTCCCGGCCCTGAGCGGCTCACAGCCCCCGGCCTGGGAGCACAGAGAAGGAGTCAGTACTTTTTGGGCAGGCCAGCAGGTCTGAAGTGATTGGGGTCTTTGCCGCTGCGGCCCCACTGGTTGGCTCTCTGGTCAGCCCTGGAGTCCTCCACTCCGTGGCCACTGTTGCCATACTTGAAAAGGTCTGTGACTCTCTGAGCCTGCTCTCTGGCATTGCTAGAAAAAAAGGGGACAAGCAGAAGGTGAATCAGGGGCCAGTGAGAAACTGCCCCATCTCCCCACTCTCCTTTCTCCAAGGATCAGTCACCGAGAGGAGCCAGGAAAGACCTTGCCCAGGCAGCCACACAGCCCTGGCTGACCCCAGCTTGGGGTGGACAGCACTCACACAGGAGGGTGGGAATCACCCCTCCAACTGCCTTTAGCGGTTCAGACTTCATAGTGGGCCCAGAGGGACAGGGGAGTCAAGAGGAGGAGGGACCACTTTCTTCACAGGAAACTTCTCCTGGCTTGGCCCCACCTGGCTCCCCAAGGCCACCAAGCTCTGCTCACCACCCTGCAGCCCCAGGAGCCCAGTTACCTGATCACTTCAGCAGCCCAGGCACCTCCAGGTCCCCTCCGGGCAGCGTCATAGTTCCCCCGGGCATGGAAGTACTTATCTGCACCTTTGTAATTGGCTTCTCTCATGTCAGAGTAGGCTCTCCACATGTCTCTGGCCCCTGGAAAGGAACGAACATGTGAGGTGGAGGTGATCACATCTTGGCAAAGGAGGAACAAAGCATTTTCTTCTACTGATTGTATGGTGGGAACTTTTGACTAGCCCTTGGAGATTAATTGGTTTAGGATCTATCTTCTTTTACCTTTTGGTTCCTGGGTTAATGTGGTGGGAATCACATTGGTACAAGTTTGATTCTGTCTGACTCCGTCCTACATTCTGTTCCTACTTTGTCCTTGGCTGTGTATGAGGCACATAGAGAAGAGGTGAGATGGTCTTTAAGGGATGTTCATTTGTGCAAGGAACCTCCACCTGGAAGGATGCAGGGAACCCCTGACTGGGGGTGGGAACAAAGGGGATTTCTCGGGAGGCTCAGAAGCACAGAGGTCCCAGCCAGTCAACGGGACACATTCACCCCGTGGGTGAGGAAAGGACGGCCCATCCTGTGTACGTTTGTTTGGGCACATTTGACACCTGGGCAACTGTCAATGTTCAATCCGCACATAGTAAAAGTGAGTTTCCTCAGAGACTCCATAGAAATGGGGTAATAGATGCAGAACAAGGGCAAGTGCCCCACCAGCTCTAAAGTTCATGCCCTCCCCATAAAGTGGGGGAGTCTGGCTTCCCTCAGAGGGGTCACCCAGAAGCATTGAGAAAAGGCTGTGTAATGTCAAGAACATTGTAGGTGGACAATATGGTCTTACTTTACTTCTCTGGACTTTAGAAGTCCTTCTCTGGAGCTAAAGGAAGTAAAAGAATCAAGGAAGATGAACAGGGAGGCATAGAATAAATTTGATTAAGCCACAATTAAATGGCAAAAAATGTAATAACTTATTAGGCAAAGAGAATAATCTAATGGAGAGTTAGAATCATGGTCTACATAACTGATTACTCCGCGAGATCACTGATCTCCATTTCACATGTCATTTTGGTGTTAGAAAAGGTAGTTTTGGTGAGAGGTATGCCATTCCTGCTACACACTAATTTAAATAGATCCCCTGGCCCAGACTTGCACAAGAATTTCCAAAATGTCTGGTGTATTTTACCACCAGGGGGCAGCACATCAAGACAGTGCTTCTCATACTTCAGTGAGCACACCACCAACCCGGTGCTTAGTAAAAGTGAGGTTTTACGCTCAGCCCCAGACATTGTCACCCAGTGGACCCAGTGGTCTGCCTTTTGAAAGGCACCCCAGACCTTGTATGATTCTCGTGCAAGTGGTCCTAGATCAACCCTTTGAAAAACACTGACCTAAGATGTGAAAGACATTTTTAGCCGGGTCTGTGAGAATTTAGATGGAATTAACTGCAAAATCTGAAGACAATTACTCAGAGACAATTGCAGAAAAAATGTGAAATAATTAGGTGAATAAAGAACATTTTATTTCTTTACTATGGCTAGTGAGGTATATTTCTCTCTCCATTGCTTTCCCGGCCAGATCGCAGCACCAGCAGAAACATCATCAGGTAGTTCATCGTGACTTTCACTGTAGGGAGGGAAGCTCTGTAGATTTGCCTGTCAAAGGCACCACCTCCCCACTGTTAGCAATTTGCTCAGATAAGGAACAGAACAAGTGTTCACAAATCCCTCACTCTTCCATGTGCAGCCTTGTCTGGAAGGCCGTCTGATACCGTGGCTAATACCAAGGTCTGAATCTCCATAACCTAGATTAAATACTCCTCTACCTGGTGATTTTGGGAGGTCTCTTACTCTCTTTGGGCCTCCTTTTCCCTGTTAAGAGAGAATGGTACCTACAGGGCAGGACTGACAAATTAAAACAAGAGGAGGAAAATGAGCTTATTGTACATGAAAAGGACTTAGAATGGTGCATAGTATTGAAAGCTCTGTTAATCTTTGTTGTATTAACTAAGAAGTTGGGGGATGTAAAATACTCCCCACACCTTTGACACACCCATTTCATGGCTGAGACCCACAAATGAACTGCCCCTGACTGCCATTAGGGGGCAGTAGAGCATGATTTATACTCAGGGAGTCACCTCTGAACTCCCCCATTTCTTCACTCCTGCTGCAAGTTGGGGCACACACTTTTGGTGCCCTCCAGCTCCAGGATCCCCACAAAAGTGCACACAGCTGCCCAGAGAATCCTCAGGAACACCCACCATGAAAGCACTGTTCTCTGTCTTCCTAGTGACAATGTGCCCTCTGCTCAGGTGGAACCTGGGTGCAGGTCGGATGCAGCCTCTTCAAAACCCATGCTGGGACTTCCAGCCAAGATGGAGGCGTAGGTAGACACACTGTACCTCCTCGTACAACCCAAATAAGGACAACAATCTTTAGAAACACAAAAACACCAGAACTGACAGACAATTGAACTGTATGGAAGTCCGACAACCATTCATTCAGACCGGTAAGAGGGGCGGAGTTGGTGGCCGGAGAAGAGGAGTCAGGGCAAGGAAAAGCGGTGGCTGGTGGACCCAGGCGCACAGGTGGCAGTTGGCAGACCCCAGGGCATGGAGTGGCCACCAGCAGACCCAGTGAGGTGCGCAAGGTGGCTGGCTGACCACGGTCCCACATTCACATGCTCATAAACCAGGCGAGACAGGGAGACAGACCATGCAACCCATGGCCCCAGCACAGGGAAATAAAGACTAAAAGCATCAATTGAAAACACTTGTGGGGGTTGAGGTGCTGGGAGAGTCTCCCACCTTCACAGGAGAGTCGTTGGAGAGACCCAGAGGGTCGTAGAACATACACAAGCCCACCCACCTGAGAACCAGCACTAAAAGGGCCCAATTTGCTTGTGGGAAGCGGCAGAGGAAACCAAAATCCGAGAGAGTGGAGCAAGTGCTATTTTTCCCTCTCTGACCCTGCCCCCAGATACAGACTCACAACCCAGCAACTTGGGTTGCCCCACGCTGGTAAACACCTAAGGCTCTGCCCCTCACTACATAACAGGCTCGACCAGACCCCCCCCAAAAAAAAATGGTTGAAGTGGAAAAACAGATCAAAGCCCCAGACCCAATACATCTAAGCAACCAAAAGATAGCCAACCTATCAGATGCACAGTTCAAGGCACTGGTGATCAGGATGATCACAGAATTCATTATTTTGGTCGCAGAATTGATCAGAAATGATCGCAGAAATGATCACAGAATTCATTATTTCATTCATTTTTTCATTAGATGAAAAAAATGAAAGATACACTAAGTGAAATGAATTGAAATACACAGGGAACCAATAGTGATGGAAAGAACACTGGGATTCAAATCAGTGGAGTGGACCAGAAGGAAGAAAGAAACAACCAAACAGAAAAGGATGAAGAAAGAAGAATTCAAAAAAATGAGGAGAGGCTTAGGAACCTTCAGGACATCTTTAAACGTTCCAACATCCAAATTATAGGGGTACCAGAAGGGGAAGAGGAATGGCAACAAGTGGAAAACTTATTTGAACAAATAATAAAGGAGAACTTCCCCAATCTGGCAAAGGAAATAGACTTCCAGGAAATCCAGGAAGCTCGGAGAGTCCCAAAGAAGTTGGACCCAAGGAGGAACACACCAAGACACATCATAATTACATTAGCCAAGATTAAAATGAAGGAGAGAATTCTAGAAGCAGCAAGAGATAAGGGGACAGTCACCTACAAAGGAGTTCCCATCAGACTGTCAGCGGATTTCTCAAAAGACACCTTACAGGCAAGAAGGGGCTGGAAAGAACTATTCCAAGTCATGAAATGCAAAGACCTACAACCAAGATTACTCTATCCAGCAAAGCTTTCATTTAGAATGGAAGGACAGATAAAGTGCTTCTCAGATAAGGTCAGGTTCAAGGAGTTCATTATCGCCAAACCCTTATTATATGAAATGTTAAAGGGACTTATCTAAGAAAAATAAGATTAAAAAATATGAACAGTGAAAAGACAGCACACCCATTAACAACCACATCTAAAACAAAAGCAAATTAAGCAAACAACTAGATCAGGAAGAAAACCACAGAAATGGAGATCATATGGAGGGTTAGCAATAGGGGAGTGGGAAGAGAAGAAGGGAGGAGAAGGTACATCTCTGTACTTTCTCCTATAAGTAGCATTACCTATAAGTAGCATAGATGGTGGGGAGAAAATAGATGGGCAAGGGCAAGAATAGTATGGGAAATGTAGAAGCTAAAGAACTTACCACACATGGACATGAACTAAAGCGGGGAATGTGGATGGGAGCGGTGTCCAGGTTGGAGAGGAATGAAAGTGGAGGAAATGGGACAACTGTAATGGCATAATCAATAAAATATATTGAAAAAAAACCCATGCTGAGTCCTTACCTTGACCAGCTTCCCTGAGGAACCCTCCCAATCCTTGGGTGCTGACGCTCAGCACCAGGGAGCAGAAGATGATGATGGTGGAAAGCTTCATCCTGAGGAGAGAGTCATGCAGACACAACCAACATGAGCAGTTGTGTCTCTTTTTTGGTGATGCTGACCTACCCTCTCCTTCCAAAAGTAAATTTCACTCGATTTTATATTTCTGTGTCGATATCTACGTCCGTCTATCCACCCACGCAGATGGGTGCATTGCATTTCAGAGAATCCAGGTCCACGTTGTCATCTGACTCATTAGAACCACAGAGACTTCCCTTACAGGAGAGTGCAAACCATAAGCCAGTGATTTCAACAGGCGTGCTGCAAGAACTTTTTAAACATGCTACCTGACTATTTAGTCAGGGGCACTGACCTATTTCCCTTCAAGTTTAAAACAAAATAAAATAAAGACAAAAACCAACACAATAGCCATCTCGTGTGAATGAATCAAAATTACAACTAATTTTTTGTCAGACAGACAAAAAATAGTTTCGGTGTGCCATGAAATGTTAGTAGTTAGTTCATATGTACCATGAGAGGAGCAAGGTTGACAATCACTGCTATAAAATAATTTCCATTTGGCCATCCCCTGTCAGCCCTGAAACCCAAATGAATGTACATTCCCAAAAGGCATTTGGGAATTCGTGTCCGCTGTACCTCTCTGTAACAAGAGAGAAGTTAACCTATAAATACTGCAGGGTACCTGCTCTACCGTCACTACCTCACACAGAAGAAGCATACCGTGAAATCTCTACCCCCAAAGTATTCACATTTCATGAATGCTCAGTGCCTGAACAGTAGACTCAGGAAGAGAGCTGCTGGGAAAGGAGCATCTCCACAGAGGCACAGGTGCGAAGTTTCAGCCCCTCACCTTGGCTGTGGGTCCTGCAGAGACTCCTGGTGAAGCTGAGCTGCCTGAGCCGCCTGCCTGGGAGCTGCCCCTGTGCTGCATATATACACGGACGCTTCCCCGGTGGGGCAAACGGGAAGAGGGGTTTGAAGCAAAACACAGATCTGGGAAATTCCTTTTGCTCAGCACAGGTCTTCCAGAACATGGGGGTTATTTTTTACACACATCTAATTTTCCCAGATTGTGCAACCTGGCAGCTTTCAGGAATGTAGCAAGTTGGGTTTCCTGCCCATTTTCAGTCTCCCGTGTGCTGGGAAAGGTGGTTTCTCCCTGCACAGCAATGTGCTCACTCTTGCTGTGCAGGAGAATCAGTGTTAGAGAAGAGGTTGGACTGGAGGATGTGAGGACACAGGGTCAGTGGGAGAGCAGAAGGGGCTCCAGGGTGAGTGGGAGCTCAGGATGAAGCTGGGGCCCAGGGCACAGGTGCAGGGAAGAAGGACTGATGGCCCCGGAAAAGAAAGTTTCCAGCACCCACCTGATGTAGACTCTGCACTCAAGAACGGGTCCTCCAGAGTCAAGTGATGGTGCGACCAGCCAGCAGTGTCCGTGGTGTTGTGGATAAAACGAACAAATTCACATGGACTGCAGAATCCTATGGAAAAAAAGGAGAGCATGGCCACTCTCTGAGTGAGAGAGGGCTCCTATCCTTTCCTGGACAGGCTTTTATTGCTTTCTGAGAACATTACATCAAGCAAGGTCCTCATTTATTATGTTAAGGTTTGCTTTAAGTGATTACTTCTTACAGATAGCAAAGAAAAGAATGTTGCAAATGCAAGGGAGCAGCAGAAGTGATTGATCTGTTTACTTTCTGTCCTTGAAACAGCTTAGCACAGACTTTAAGGAGTTACTTCAAAGATACACATTAAACATTAGCTGTCTTACCTCAGGGTGAGGGAGTCTTAGCAAGAGCAAGCCTCAAAGCAGCCTGGATGTAATGCAGGCCTGTTCCCCCGTGGGAAAGTTCATCTGTGGGCCTGACTCCTGTGTACTGCCTTGTGCCTGTTGGTTTTTCTAACCAGGGCTGAGCCACATTCGCCATTGCCATGTGGACTGGTTCCCTATAAAATATGTTCATGGTCAGTCGCTACTGGAGGTCATGGTAACAGGTTATACTGGAGGTTCTATAACCCAGGGATGTTGACCTATAGCATAGAGACTTGCTGTAATGTCTTGTAGCAATGACACATGGGACATATGACAATCTCTGAAGTCTGTTTTGTCGCAGTAGTAGTAGTAGATGTTATAAAAATTGCTATGTTAGGAATATCATTAGTAAATGTAATTTTTATTATCCTATGTGCTACTCTCAGCTGCAAGAACAGAGTGAACGTTCTCTCTTTTCAATTGTGAGGAAACTCCTTTCCCCAGATGTTGGTTGGGGTACGGTTTTCAAGGACAAGTGCTGGCATCACTCAGTTAACCCTGGAAGGTACACAGGCCTGAGAGGAGCCAGACCTACAGAGGACAGAGCGGAGAAGGACTATGAACAGATGGGGTAAGGCCCGTGGGAATGAGCGGTGTCCTTTCCTTTCATCTTTCATGACAACTCTTACATGTGACCCCGAGCCATGTGTCAGTTTTTATTTTATTGGGATCTGTATTAAGCAGACACATTATTTATGGATGTACGATGTACATGTATGAGTTTGCACACTGTTACTCTGGTTTTTGTGTGCGTGTGGAGAGTGACAGAGGTATGCACATATAAAGTGTGTTCTGAATACGCAGGTGCTGTTTTTCTTTATCCCAGTGCTGGAACCCCAGTCCAGACAGGAGCCAGGTCATTGGATTTTTGCCCCCACCCATTATCAGTGCTCGGAAAATGCCGAGAACGCAGTCAGGCTCAATGAATGAACAGCCTCTTAGCTGGATGCTCTGGTTCCCCCAAGAAAGCTGGAAAAATGTAAAATAGGTAAAAACACAGAACAAAAATCAGTGCCAGTTTCATCAGCCCAGGCTGAGGGAGGCGGTGGGGAGACCCTCTGCACAAACTCCTGTTTGGCCTGCACTCTGTTCGCTGAGTGTAGGCACATATGTGAATGTGTGAAGGCAGGGATGTGGTGCCTGTTGTATGTTCTGCTTTCTCATTTAACAACTTCTCGCAATCACTTGTGCATGCACCACCCACACTGCCGCCAGGTTGGCGGCAGAGCAGAGATTCCACCTGGTCTGTTAGGACTGAGCGTGTGGCTTCTTAACCACCTGCTCCACAACTGCCACCTGAATGTGGCCGCTGCACAGCACATGAGTTGGCTCCACCACGTAGAACACTAACTAGCTGAATAAGTACTCTCCCAGCAGAGTGTTACCTGCCTGAGAGCATGGATCTTGTCTGTCTGATTCCCTGCTGCATTTTCAGGACCAGGTGCTGTTCCTCCCATGTACTGCGGCTCATCCGATAGGTGTTGAATAGTTGAATGGATGCCAAACAAGCTTTTTGCAAGCATCTTTATCAGAAATGAAAATAGGTGGGGTTTTAGCACTAGACTATTTGGACAGTTCTAAGTCAAGGCTTGCAGGGAAGTGACAAAGCTGGCTGTGCATTGCAGGTCTGTCCCAGGCCAGATGGCTCAGGCACAAGCCCCGCTGGCCCAGTCTTCAGTTTTTGTCAATATTCCAGACTCTTTCAGTAAGGGACCAAGGGATCATGGACAGGAGGTTTTGCAAATGTGTTTTAAATGGTGTGGTTTGACAGGAGTCCATAAATAATAAATTTGTGTCTAAACCAAGCACACTTTTCTCAGAAAGGACCTGGGTTTTGTCCCATAATTAAAAGTGAAATCTGGGAAATTCGAGTATTGAGAAAGAGCCCCCTTGAAACCACGTTTAAACAGCAGGCTGTTTGTGATGCTGGGGACCCACAGTGGAGAACAATGAGCCTCCAAGTCCCCCCATCTGAGAGAAAGCCTCCCCAAAATAGGGCCAGATCTCTAGAGCACAGTGCTGACGAAGAGGGGGCCATTCGGGCCTTCATAGCAACCACCTCCTCGTCCCACTGCACCTGCGGTCCAGGTGGAGGGGCCTGAGGAGAAGGATGGGGGAGAGGGCAGGGTGTGGGTCCTGCGGGGAGTGCAGCACTTGTGGAAGTGGGTGGATTCCTCAGTTAGGTTTGGGTGCCAGGAAGAAAAGGAAAACTCCTTCTCAGTCCTGAGCTGGGTGCATGCTGAGCTGCAAACACTGCCAGCCCATTGGGGCGCCCCGGTCGAAGCAGGGGGGAGTGTGGTGAGGGATGGGCGTGGGACCCAGTGCTCAGCTGCTTGCTTGTACTCTGACTGTAGAGGGTGAGTGGCCCATGCCGGGGGAGTTTGAAGAGCCCATGGCGGAGCGAGGCTAGGAGCGAGGGTGAGCTGTCTCCCATCTGTCTTCCCCACAGCCCTGGCAGACCTGTTGGGGGTGCACCTGTTCCTCGGTGAGGAGGTTCCCATGTCTGCAGGGCTGGAGTGAAGCTGAGCGTGACCTCCACCATACTTTGTCACTAATGAAGGCCCCCAGTGGACTATTTCCATTTCATAATATAGTGTGAGTGAGAATCTGAATAGTTTAAATTTCATATCATGTTTCATCACCTCTAAGTCACACATTTCTTGTGACGAGTTTCTAATATGAGGACCTGCCTTACATTCACTAATGACCAGGCAGCACGAATGAAATAGTTATTCTTGCTTTAGGAAAACTTACGAATTTGTTTAGGGTAGGCTTTCCTTTTTGTTTTCACACACGAGAGTGATGAAGATAAAAATCTATGCCTAAGTAGGTCCAAAACCTGATAGTTCTCTCAATCAGTGTAAAATAAAAATTCTAGCCCTAGCTGGTGTAGCGAATGGATTGAGTGTGGGCTGGTGAACCAAAAGGTCACTGGTTCGATTCCTACTCGGGGCACATGCCTGGGTTGCAGGCCAGGTCCCCACTAAGTGGGGGACTGAGAGGCAACCACACACTGATGTTTCTCTCCCTCTCTTTCTCCCTCCCTTCCTCTCCTTAAAAATAAAATAAATAAAAACTTTTTTTTAATTCTGAAAATGAAAACCCATTATGCCTTAATTTAGTTGGCAGCATTTTTTTCTTTTCTGTGTAAATAATGATGTGTCTTTCAGTCCGTGGTGTCTTAGACTCGGGAATACAGCGTTTTCTTTTCTCCCTCGTCTAGTCATGGAGTATTCCGTGCTAAACCATCCCTCTGACAGTCAGCACAGTGGGAATTCCAAATGTCTATTGCTTCCTCCCAAGGCTTTTCATCATATGCCGTGATGACTAACAGTTTATTACACTTTTGGGTCCTAATGTTTTGTTCTGTGAGAGGCATGCAAAGCACTTCTGGACAAAAAAATTATTTATATGATAAAATAAAATTATGTCTTTTGGTTGGTGTCTTAGTAGATATTTTGCTTTGGATTTACAGTGCCACTTTAAAGTGACTCCTTACCATGCTCTCAGAATCAAAAATTGTGTCCAGCACGCATGCAGTCTACCACTGCTCCACCCAGATCTGTCGACTTCTGAGCTATACTTCTACTTCATTCATTTCAACAAATAGTCATTAAGCAAACACTGTGTGTGAGGTGCTATGACAGGTACTGCAGATCCAAGGCCGACATACAGTAAGACAGGTGGGGCTTTTCCCCTGGGTCTCCCACCCACGTGCCCTAAAGACAGACCGCAAATGGGCCGGCACATTGGAGTGGACGAGTCTCTCGGGCATCGCCTACGACAGCAGCAAGCACAGCCGGACTTCCGCAGGTCTGTCATCCTCCCTCTCAAATGTGCTCATTCCCTGACCTTGTTCTCATTACCTTGTTTCCTTTCCCAGAGAGAGAGGCGTTTCTGCCTGCTTTAGGATGACCCCTCCCCTGTGGGCTGAGTCCCACTGCCTCTTGCCTCCCCCTGAATCTGAGGTTATTCCCTCTTCTTTATCTTTAGTGTCTCCCCCTTCATTAGCTCCTTCCTGATCCTTATAACTAGATTGACCTCTTATGAAGGAGAAACATTTTATTAGTAACTGATAAATTCACTCAATTATTCATTCATTCATTCATTCATTCATTCACATAATAAGCATTTGTAGAGATCCC